TTGGATTCATTGGACTCACCCATTGAAAAATTTATTCATGAACTTAAACAACATGCCATGTGTGGTTCTAAGTAAAGTACATAGTAATAACAACATACTCTAGCATCACTGGGCCAGAGGTAACCTACTGCCAGTCAACTAGACACTAAGCACAGACCTGCAAGTACAACCAGTAAATGTAGGACCAGGTTCTAATAACCCAGGACAGATGAGGCTCGCTAAGAATCATGTGCTGTTTCAGTGACTGTCTACATTCTGATATATACACTTGATATTTAACTTCTTTGATATCAAATACATTTTTTCTTTTACTTTGACCTGACATTAAAATCCTTGAAATGTCAGGAATTAGTGGATGGACTTTCAAAAATCTCAAATTAAGTTCGGTCATTAATACTGAAAAAAAATGTAAGCTGTGCTTTATTAGACACCAAAAACCCAAAACAAATTGCTGTTCTAAGAAAAATTTGCCACTAGATAAACAAATTATTTTACATGCAAAACAGATAGTGTTTCATGAGTTAATGTCATATTTGTACTCTTAAGAGAAGCTAGAAAAATATCCAAAACATAAAATTTTCAAGTATTTGCTTAATGAATAATGAAAACCTGTAAATAGAAAACTAAATTAATATTTTCAATTATACTTACATGATGCCTTCTCTTTAAAAAGGCCTGGAGTGATCATAAAATTAAAAAATAAGTTGCCATGCATACTACTTCTTGGCAAAGAGAAAATGCTCCTACTAGTCATATTGGCACCAAGAATAAGGCCACTCTGTCCATAACTTGCCAGCATATATGGTCCTTCTCCAAGCCCTACATAAGTACAAGTAGGAGAATTACAATTTAGCATAGGATTTTATAATTTCAATCTACTATTTCAATAAAATGTTTTAATAACAAAAAAACTCCAAAAATGTTGAACAACTAAAAATTTATCCCTAATAAAATAATTGAACTCTTTTTTCAATAATATACTTTGGAATATATCATACATATTTACAAATATGTAATCTGTAATATATAGTAAATACACATGAATATGTATGCATATATGTGCAAATACATATATGCACATGTTTCTATCTCTGTATATGTCAAATAGAATTGGATAGACAATTGACTTATGCTTTCTGAGCCTCAGATTTTCTCCCCTATATGAAGAAATTTGTCTAGGTGACTTTCCATCTCTAACATTTCAAGATTCTAATCTATCCTCAATAAACAAAATAAGTTTAGCTGTATCAACAGCCACATTTTATGACAGTCCTCCAAAAATCATCTCTCCTTAGTGCCAATGCATTAAAATAATGCATAGTCATAATAGACAACATTTTATTGCTCTGGGAATTACTAAATTTCGCCAGTGAGGTATATCTATAAAAAAGAGAAAGTAAGACTCAGTTCAACCAAGAAATCAAAGGTCTTTACACTTAAACTACTATTTCCCATGCACTTAAATAGTTCCCAACTAAGGAAGAAAATATTCAATCCACTAAAAACTAGTTAATATAGAATCAAGCCTGAAACTCAAGAGTGATTTTTTTGCAAACTTCATCTTATAAAGATGTTATAAATGACAAATAATTTCATTGCTATTCAAAAAATGTAATTATATTTTATGATTAAATCAGTTTGACTTCACCCCAATTTCTATGTCATTTAGTGTTCTTAACATAACTGAGTATTATAAAACTTTGAAGCATCTTCTCAATCATCAAATATTAAATTATATAATTACTGTCTGTATACTTTTAACAGATATATGTGCATGAGTATATGCTTGTGTGTGCTATAGGTTATTTTAAATGTCAATATACCTGCACTAGATTATATCATAAAAGATTGTTATTATTCTTGATATATTTCACTTTCTACTTCTCTCATTTTTATCTCAAGCACAATTTTACCTTCCCAGCCCACCCTGAAGAAGAAGGAAAAAAATCAACAGATGTAAACAGGGTTTTTCTCCTTAAGGGGTGAAAACCAGGCCTGAGGAAAGGCAAGAGGGAATTAGATTGGAGGGATAAGTAGTCGTCCAAGTAGGAAGAGGAATGAGGATCAAAATTTCCATCATGCAGACCAAGAGGAGGAGAAACTCTGAGGACGACTTTTGTTCAAGGGCTATTCCCTTCACTAACTTCATCTGGTACATGTCACCATGGAACAGCTGGGAAGCACACACCACAAGAACAAGAGTCTTGTTGAGGACTCAGATAATTTGAGTAGAGAAGGGGACTTGAAAACCTATTCCCACACCAGGGTGTGGCTGAACAGTATCGCTGAAGAGTGTGCCTAGAGCCTGCAGCGATGCAATCACTTCCCTATTGCAAATGTACATTACACACAGTGTCACATTGTGAGTCAAAACATAAAAGAGCCAAAGAAATTTAGACCAAATGTTTTCACTACCTAATGACTAATTTTCTAGGAAGAACAAGAGCAAAATAACATTAAACTCCCAAGATGCAAATGTACTTCAATTTATAAATATGCAGATTGTGTAAATATGTAAGTAATGTATCAATAAGTAAATAAATATGTAAGTTATAATGAGATACAAGTCAAAATGAAGAAATCATGAATATAACAGTCACTTGAGGGCTTGAAGCACCCTCAAGGACACTCAATTGAAGAATGAGAAAGGAGATGGACTGCTGAACAAAACCCCCTTTCACCCTGTTGCAGATGCCTCTACTACATCAGCCCCAAGGGACAACTGTCATGGATAAAGTCCATTTGTATAAAAACTTAATGCTTTAAAATTGACTCCTCATTCACTGGTACCTTGCTTCTGGAATATTTTCAGGCATTTTCACCACCAATTCAGAAAGTAACTAACTAAAGTAACTAACCTTATCATTATTTTTTTTTTTTTTGCAGGGAGAATATAATTTAACTATCTACTAAAAGCAATAATTTCCTACAGTGGTTCTTTAAACACAGCAATAAGCAATTCTATCTAATAAAATCATTCTAAACTTTAAAAAGTTGCAAAACAATTTTACCAGAATATTAAAGTCCTTCCTCACCTACAACAATAACAATAATAAAATCTTCACATTCTAAGTAAATCCCATAATAATGAACATGAATGTATTATGTAGAATCTTTGTGCTTAGGCTTATTGAAGTAATCTCTTCTGTAACCTCTGAATTCTCCTACTATTTTAAATTTTTTCTTCCACAGAATATTGTTTTTATATATTTCCCTTAAATACATAACTATCTTAATAATAGTAGCTGCTATATGGTAAATAAAGATCAGTAATAAATTTCCTAAGTAGATAAGTTTACAAAATAGCTGTGACATTGTTTAGAATAAAACAAATCAAGAATAGTCATTTAAAACCACTTTCTTTTTATGATTATTATCAAGAGCCTCCACAATTCTATAATCTCCTTTAATCATCTATCTCTACTGCAATGCTTTTACAAACTCTTACTCCACATGACACATGGATTACATTTTATTACTTTGATCACAGTGCCCCTGGCACTGCGCTGAGCCTACCAGTGTTATCATGAAGGCCAAATGCCTAGTGTTCACCTTCTGATATGATCAATATGGTGTTTAAAATGGAACCAGAAGAACTGGTTTAAAGAATTCTCTAGCATATTAGAAAACAGAACCATCACTAGAAGTGCAGCTGCCTTGACAGAAGGCAAAATGTACCGAGTAGTAAGCAATAGTGATTCAGTATGCAAAGAGAATTCTGACTCTTTGTGTCCAATGGTCTGCAAAAGAAATGCCAGAAAGTACAGAGGCACAGATGGAGACCTTCACAGCAGAGTTGTATGAGATAAGAATGTTTCAGTGAGGAAGTTACTGGAGCATTTTCTCAAGTCAGTGTGTGCGCACATTATGTAGAACATGAGATTAAAGTGGATGGTGTTCATCCCTACAACACTACACAAGGTACACAGAGGTCAGGCCCATTGGCTCTGAAGTGAGATTGTTTACAAGTTCCAGCTAATCATATTTTTAGCTATTTAATCTCTTCTGCCTCAATTCCCTCTTCTGTAAAGTGCTAGTAATAAAATAATAACATATTTGGAAGTTTATATGATATACGAAAAGTAGTTATGACAGCAAAATCTATTGCTATTTTTACTGTTGCTGTCATTAACAGGCAGTCAATTCCATTTTATTTTTATTTTTTTTATTCATTGTACACAATTGCAGCACAACTTTTTTATTTCTCTGGTTGTACACAATGTAGCGTCACACCATATGTGCAGTCATACATGTACCTAGGGTAATGATGTCCATCTCTTTCCACCATCTTTCCTATCCCCATGCACCCTCCCCACTCTTCCTCCTCTTTGCCCAACAAAATTTCTCCCATTTCTCCTCCCCGATTTCATTTTAATCATGGAATCCACAAGGACTAATATAGAGTGTTTGTGTGCATTTGTGTGTCTGCTTCTGTTTAAAATCTTGAACAAGAAATATTTTTGGTTAGAATTTCTTTAATTACTACAGATTTTTTTTTAATATTGGATTCACCTCAACTTTCAAACTTCCATAGATGTAATAAAACAACCAAATGCTAAAATTCCCTTTTTATTTTTAACTCATGATCTCTATTTCTGCAAATGTATCTAACCTTCATTAGACACTTACAGATGACAGATCCCTCCCTGGCTCAAAAGTCATCCAAAGTGCCATAGTTGCTTGATTCAACTTCTCTATAACTATCATGTTAACTTACCATCCATTCATTGTGAGTTCAGAGTTTGTCCAGTTGACAAAATGTACTTTCCCTAGACCATCTTACTTGTCTGTATTAGGTTTTGGTGGCTATTTAATTAAATAGGTTTGACAAGAAGCAGACTTCTACTCTGCTATCTTCTGGCATTTTCACTGAGGATATAATTCTGTCTCTTCTTACTTCTATGTCTTAGCTTTAGGCAGCACACCCTCTCAGATTCTCATCATTAATCAGGATGCTTGGTAAGGCTAGATTTTCATTATCGTTCTATCAATAAGTTTCCATTCTGGGGTAAGTAAATTATTATGTTTTCTTATAGTGGTGGCAAAATAAATTCTTTATGTTATCATTACATTAATATTGTGTTTGATTTCTGCAACAAAATAAAAAAATGGATTACAGTCCTAGTCTTTTTGTTTGTTTGGTTGGTTGGTTGGTTTTTTGTTTTTTTATTGGTTGTTCAAAACATTACAAAGCTCTTGAGATATCATATTTCATACATTAGATTCAAGTGGGTTATGAACTCCCATTTTTACCCCAAATACAGATTGCAGAATCACATCGGTTACACATCCACATTTTTACATAATGCCATATTAGTGACTGTTGTATTCTGCTACCTTTCCAAGGAGACCCTCATTGTTATACAAAATTACATATAAGAGGTTGTGAGGGGAATGGGAAAATAAACAAGGAGATAAATAAATTACAGTAGATGGGGTAGAGAGAGAAGATGGGAGGGGAGGGGAGGGGCGATAGTTGAGTACAGTCCTAGTCTTATGCTGTGCATTTGATCACCAGAATTTATCCTTCCTATCTAACTGAAACTTTGTAGTCTGGACCAATATATATCTCTTGCCTTCCTCATTCACCCCCTACCGCACAACTCTGATAACCACCATTTTGCTTTCTAGTTCTGAGTTTGACTATTTTAGATTTCACATATGAATGAGATCATATGGTATTTCTCTCTCTGGCTTATTTTACTTAGCATAATATCCTCTAGATTCACCCATGTTGTTACGAATGACAGGATTTGCTGCAATTTTTTAAGGCTGCATAGATTAAAGAAAGGATTTAAAATGTTCTCACCACAAAGAAATGATAAATATTGAAGTGATGAATATGCCAATTGGACTGATTTTATCTTTCCACAATGTAGACATGTATCAAAGCACCACACTGTATACTGTAAATATGTATGCACACACATAATTATTGTCAATTAAAAATGAAATTTGAAGATTTTTAAATAATGTCCATATTTATACATAGTGGTTAAAGATATGTATTTAGTGTATGCCTTTTTATTATTTTTATTTAAGAAAAGAATCAGCTCTACTTATTTATTTATATATAAATCCAAAAACTATTTGTTGAAAATGTCTTAGTCCTGAGAACTTAAGCTATGTACTGTTTCATTATTTTTCAGGGATAAATTTTAACATGAATACTCAGAAATTTAGATAAATTATGAAATTTAAAGTCTTTTATAAGGTTCTATACCAAATTATTAACTATTTATACTGAGTTCACTGTACAAATTGTTTAAAAAGTTTTAATCTAAAAATATATCTAATAGAAAAATATAGTGATATTCTTTATTAAAATGTCACATACCTTCATTGTAGTATTCACAATCAAGTGCTAAAAGGGAAAGAAGAATAAGTGTTACACTATAAGAAACTGATCACTTAACCTATATGGCCATTTGTTTATAAATAGCCACAAGAAAGATCATAGAATGACGTAATTATTTAGGAATTTCCTCTGAGTGAAGAGTGTTCCTTAAGGTGATATGTTGTAATTAACTAAAGTTCATAAGATTATTTTAAAGGTAGGCAAATGCACCTAACAATATAGAAACTTCAGCTACAGCTGTTCAAATGATAATCTATTCAGATAGCTAATAGCCTATACGAGTAAATAAAGTAGTCAAATTGGAAAGCAAATTAAAATTTCACAAAACATATTCTATACTTATATAATTATGTCCAAATAAACCCCAATATTACATATAACTCTAAAGCATTAATACAAAAATCAAAGATTAAAAACCAAATTTGGTAAAAAACATGTTTCTTATGATCAGAATAGTGACATTTCACAGGTGTAAGGGAACTAAAATCATAGATCATAAACAATTTCTCTGAGAATGGGATCTAATTCATACTTCAAATGTTGCAGAGATATCAGTCAAACACAACAGAAACATTATCTCAAATTTCTGCTGTGGTAATTTGTGATTGTCAAACGAATATAAAAGTTGGGTCATCTAAAATTAATTCCATTTCCATGAATTCCATGGAATTAGTTCTATGATAAAACAACTAAGATAGAACTTACTAAACTTTTCTACCTGACCAAGTTCCAAGTAGGGTACTCACAGCACACCGTGGAGGATCTCCAGGAGACAGACACCCCTTCCTGACAGCACTTGTAAGCATAGGCTGCTACATTAGTGCATAAACATTCACAGTCCCCACCAAGATTACAGTTGCACGTGTCCTCATGGCAATTTTTGGCAAAAGAAGTAACATCAATCTGAAGATGAAGTGGAACATGACATAATTTCAATAAGTGCTCTGATTAAAACTCAAACTTAACTGGTACATTTTTAAGATTGGCATTATAAGCTTAACACTGCCACCTAGAGTTCTAATTATCTCAAATTTCCATGCTGCCAAAAGGAGAAAAGAATTATTAGGCAAATGTCATATCAAAGAACTAGAAGACAAGTAATAAGAATAACAAGTATAATTACACTATCTACAATATAACTATTAAGATCTTACATTATTATTTTTTAAAGTTTATTGCTTCATTATTGGCATATTTGCCTGGTTTTTAAAAAAGTGCATGTTCAACAACTTACATTTGTATTTTTACGTGATTTTTTTTCTTTTTATCTTCCTTTTAGGCAACATCCTAGTGACCACAAAAGGCAAAAACAATTTCTTTAAAATTTTTCCTATTTACTTAATTTTTTTTTATTGTAATTGTTAAGTAGCTAATAAAAATATAATAAATCCACAGCAGTGGATTCAAGCTTTACAAAATTCTATTTTCCACCTCAAATATTATTAAGGACAACAAATACCATCAGGTATTTTCCTTGAAGCCACAGACTTGTTTCACTTATTTTCAAGAAAATATCTGCCAAATACCCTTTTCTGATTAACCAAATTTGTCTATCATTTTTTCTTTCAAGTAAAAATGATGTTCTGAAAGAAAAGCAGCTAACTCAGCTCACAACTCAAAAATCACACAAGTGCCTTCCTTGAGACAGCTAGAATGTGGGTTTTGCAGCAGAAATGTTGCTTGATTTTTACAAATGTATGAAACTTCTTTTTAAACTTCTAATGGGACCTAAAATTATTATGCAGGAAAGAAGTTCAGAAATTTAAATTTCTGAAGAAATTATACTCCATCTTAAAAGGTGCTTCTAAAACCATTTGATGTTATTTTCCATAGACAGATATAAGATTGATACTCCTGCTCAGAAAATGCTGTATAAAAATAATATTTAATGAACTAGAACAGATTATAACAAATATTATGCATAAATGCATGCTGTTAAATGAGCTGTAGTGCAAGAAAAGGCAAATCAACATTTAGCATCACTTCTGCAGAAAAACACACTAAGAGATAGGTTAGGAAGTACATCTGAAAAGCTAACTTATCTGTCCCATTCATCTCTATATTGGAGATATCATGGTACCTTTTTAAATTTGAGATTTTAGTTAAGTATTCACTTACCACGTTGCGACAGGGAGCAAAAACATCACTGTACAAAATGGAGCACTCTTTCTTGGCATAAGGAAATTTGTTTTGATGTGCCTCACAGGGTTTTATGGTTTCACTTGGATCTTCGCACTGTTGAAACATTTTAAGGGAGAAAGAGAAGTTTTTCAAGAAGTGATTCTCAAGCTGAAACCAAAGTAACTTGGCTCCATTCATGACATGGGCAGCTAATGTACACCATTCTTTTAGACAGGCTCTACCTACAGCACCTGCCCTTATCCACATATACTATTGGTAATTAGAATGTTTTATTTTTAAAATAATTGAACAAGAATATTAAAATAATAGCATTATTAGAACGAGTAGGATCACTTTAATTTTTCTTAAATGCAACATTTATAAGACAAATTCTACAAGCATGAACCTCTTTCACTTTTACCTCTCTCTCTCTTTTTTTTTTTTTTTTTGTCATTGACCATGTTCTGAGGAATTTTATGTACTCAGGTGTGTAAGCTCATCTCCCATACACTGGGCAATTTAGCCTCTGTCTAATCTAACTGCCTGAAATTGCCCTGAGACAGTTTCCTTTCCCTCTTAACAAAGTTTAATCCTCAAACCTCTATTTTGCTCATTCTATACACATCCTGACTTCAACAATATGAATATACTAGCAACTACCAAATCCCTGTTTCCATCCCAGATCTCATTCCTGAATTTTGAAATTCTGACATTTCTACTTAAGTACCTCCTGATCTTCTTCTCTCTAGACACAAATTAAACTGCACTTATCTCCACACCAGCCCCCACTTCCTCTATGCCCTGCTTCAGGGAAGAACAACAGCTTTTGTTATTTCAAAGCCACAAGGTAGGAATGTTTCTTGAGCCCCTCAAATCCATCCTTCCTAATGCAGTCTTTCATCAGAGGCTGGTGGTTCTCATCTTCAGTGTTCTTGAACATGTAGTTTCTCAATATTGACTGACAATGTTTCTAGCTGGAATACAGAGTCCCCTGCTCCTCTTATCTTGCAGATCTGTACTTGCAATCTAGTCATTCTCTATTTCAACTACAACCACCTTGAGATTTTGAAATTAATTTTATGTATCATACTCTCCAGCCTTGAAAGTACCTGCTCCTTCCTTTTCCTTTTATGTTCTTTCTCATAAATTTCACATCTTCAGCTTCCATAAATTTAAAGAATTCATCTTCGGGCACCTTCTGTAGGACTCTGCCTTGGACCATCTGACCTCCATGTTGTATGCACTTCTATCAAAGCATCTATCTCAGTGTATTTTTATTCTTAATTTTTCTACTTGGCCTACTAACTAGACTCTAAATTCCTTAAGGGGAGCTGAGTTTTATTCATACTCTGTATCTGTATATAACAGAAAACACTATGCTAAATAAAACTTAGTGAATGAACTTAGGGTGGAGAGAGAGATGGGAAAAAGCTGATCGATGAGCACTAAGCTGCAGTTAAATGAGCAAGATGCTCAGGCCACACTGTTACACTGATGTCCTCATCTATGGAGACAATAGTTTTTGCATTATAAGTTCATCATAAGAATTATATTAGAAGATAAATATGAAAGTTTATTAACCACAAAGTACTTAAAAATATGTAAAAAAAATCTAAATAAATTTTCTTTTGAAAAGAAAATGTCCTCCTAAAAATTTCTAAAAATTTTTATTTTATTCTAAAATAAATATACATTCAACTCACCTGTCCTAATGCCCAACTATCTCCAAACACCTGAGCATTTCGCACTTCCAAGTTATTAGATGTGGTCATATCATTTGAAGTACATTTGTCAAAGTTTCCACACAACCCTGATAGTTTGTTCTAAAGTAAAAGAAAATTATCATGAATTATTTTATATTCATTTTAACATTTGAGGATTCATAGTCACTAAAACATGAAACATTTAAAATATACGTATAAGGCTTCCATAAAAATAATTTTAAAATAAATGTTTTGAAGAAAGTGAATTTTCATACCTAGTTATATTTGAAATTAATTTAAATTCTCAAAAATACTTATCAGCCTCCCAATCTCATCTACCTATACTTGCCAGCATCTTAGTATTGATACTACTAATAACAAATTTTTTAAATATAATCATACATTACATTAAATATACACATTTATACATACACATCCAAGAAGATGTGTGTATACATATATAATTTATATACAAATATAAATCTTTTAATGATGAAGGGCCCACTGACTGATATGTTTAAAATTTGATAACAGTATAAATGTTAAAACAATGAAGATAACTTAGGTTGTTATGAATCATAAAGTGGTATTTTAATACCCATGTGGGCTGTTTATACAAACAATATCCACTGGATTTTCTTAAAAGACTATAAAGGAGAAGGACGTGGATGATGGTCCAAAAACAATGAAACTCTTCCTTAAAACCTTGAATTTAAACTTGTTGAACTCTTTGTTCAGCCCTTTGTTAATGGTGCAGTCGACTGCCCTTATCTCCAGCAAAGCTGATAACTCTAGTGTCACCATCAAGGGCCACTTACTACCCTGGAGCCTCTATTCTCAGAAACTACCTCAATCTAAAGTTCATCCAAAAACTGAGGCAGCAGTAAGAGGGAGGAGGACAAATAATTTGTTTCCAAAAAGCGGGGAAAGGAAAATACATAAAGAAGAATGCAGAGAAGTGAGTTGAAGAAGGATGGCAACCACTAGAGATTATGTCAAATCAATGGAAGATATGCAATGTTTGAGCCATGCTAG